GAAAAGCTGCACAGACTAAATGAGCTGGATGTAGTTGTGCCTTTGAGACTCCATCAGGTAATTCAAGATGTTGTGCATCTGCATGTGCAGAATGGCCTGTGTACATCTAAACAATGGTGTTACTGTTCTTTGGGGCCCTTAGTTCTGATTCACTATGGTCACCTGGGAGGGAAGTGCTGTTAACTGAACTTCATGCTGCTATTTCCTCTAGAATTACCTTTTTTCCCCCCTTCTCCTTTATTGACATAAACAAGGTAAGGACAGGCAGGCTGGCCCATTTCTGAAATGTGTATGGTCTTCTTCAAGTGCTGTATAGGTTTGGCATGGCACTCTTTCAGGTCCATACCTACTGATATTCTCCTGGGAAAAAAAAAAAAAAGAAACACCACCCCAGGAAAACAAATAAAAAAATCCCAGAAAAGTATTGAAACTAATGGGAATTCTGCCCAATTCAATAATGCCAGATTGAATACAGTGAATTCAGTCACACAATTCTCTGGCCTGAAAAAAGAGATGTGCCCACGCCTACCTCACTCACTAGTTCTCTATTGCTCACACATTTTATATAAAGAGACATCTCCATCACCTTCTTGTTTCTGGCTGCCTTTGTAGGTGCAGTGCTTGGTTGATGGGGAGATGCCCCGTGACTTCTCCCAGACTTTAGTATTTACCAACCAGTCCTTGCAGTACCTGCAGAAGAGAATTGTGGACCTACGTAATGAAAAGATAATGCAAAGAGAGATCCATAAGAAGGCCAAGGAACAACATAAGCAGCTTCTCCAGGAGAAAAAGGAGATGGAGATGGAGATTCAAGGTGAGTAACAGAGACACTGAACAACACAGCATTGCTAATGTTCCTTCTGTCCCTCCCACTGGCTTTGCGTAACTCACCATGGCTCTATTCTTGCACAGATGTCACAGAGGATAACTACAGAAAATAGATCAAGTAGACTGTTGTGATGGAGTTGCAGTTCTCCGGCATTGCAGTCATCAGGCTGTGCAAAATAATTTGAGAACCTAGTATAAATAGAGCTTACTGAGATGAGACACTGGAAGTCTGGACACACGTTTGCTATTTCTCTTTGTAAACCAGAACTCCTAGGATAAAAGTAGTTTCTCCAAAGATACATAAGCTTTTTCTGGTAATTTCTTCCCCTTTGGAACATTTAGAGAAGGAAACAAGCCCTATTCAAAACACTTTTCCAAGAGCCAAACCCAAAGGTGTGTCTAGCACCACCAGACCTGCAGAGGCCCTATACAGCCTGTGGTATGAGAGTGGCTTACTAGGACCGGCTTAGAGTGTGGCTTAGTGACCACACAGGCATGATCATGGGCAAGGACAAGTGACATGACTCAGCTGTGAGCTCTGTGTGGTTTTGTGTGAATTATTTCTTGCAGAGCAAATACCAAAGAGCTCAGACAAAAAACTGGGGTAAAGCAGAAATTCTTGTAAACCAATGCCTGACAGTTCTGCCATTTTGTGCCAATGTCCCTCTGTTAGAACTGGAGGAAAGGTGCAATAATCTGATGATGGAGAAGTTTGGTCGGCTGGTTGATTTTGAAGCAGTTCAGGTCCACTCTGTTAATATACCCATGGAGCAGATGAAAGTGAGAATAATGGAGAAGGAGTACGAGCATTTCGTGGAGCTCAAAGAATGGGAGGTAAGCAGCAGGAAGAGGAGGAAGACACATGTTGTGATGATCTGTTAAGGCTTGTTTTCCTGGGGACTGAAAAGTTACACTAAAATCTTTTGTCAGCTTGCTCATGTTTGATTTTTTTTCACTTGTCCTTAATAGACCATAGTGTTCAACTCCAATTTCCCATCATCATTGCTACCTCTGCTCCAGTTGCTGGTGCACATCCTATTTTTCAGGGAGGTAGTTGATGTCTCTGTTTTGCTTTCCTCAGACACATTATCCTATTTCATTCCCTACATTAAGTTCTTGCAGAGTGCTTTTCTCTGGTTCTCAGGTGGCATTCAGCATCTCCTTCCTTCTCTCAGTGCCTTTGGTGACAGACTTAGAGTACAGGGCAGGCTCTAGTTCATGCCTGGGGTGCCTATCTGAAAAGTTCATGTCTCCATTTGGTGGAGCTTAAGGCTCAGCTGCTGTGGTGCAAGCAGGCAGCACGCTTATGCTGCCCTTACAGAAGAGCACAGGAGGGTACAGAAATTCTATGTACCTAATGGCTTTTTTTTCTCACACATTTGCTGAACTGCTTTACTTACTTAGGCATTTGTAATTTAGATATATTTAAAACAAGAAGATGACATTGCACTTAAGGTACTGTGGGATCAGATGGTGTGGCAGGATCAGTCTGTTGTTTACCTGTGACATTTACATTGTACCTAGCATTTCTTCCCCACTCAACACTTGTTGTCTTTTCTCATCCCAGATCAACTTTTTACATCTTTTTAGGAAAGAATTGTAGTCCTGCAGTATCAGCTAACAAAGCTGACAAGGGAAAACACCAGCAAGCTGCACCAGCTGAACAGGTTTTGCTATGAAAAGCATCAGCTTGAAACTGAGCTGGAATCACTGACAACTGGTCAGGTGAGCCTTGTAGCCACTGCAGTGCTTGCAGGTTTGGGACTGTTCTGAAATGGGTAAGGGATCATCTGGCCCTCCCCAGCCCCTGGTCCCACATGCTGCTCTGCAGTCAGCAGTTTAAGCTAGGAGTGGGACAGGCTGAATGGCTGCTCCATACGTTACCATCTCTGTTATTTCTTACTTAGCTGCTTTCTAAGACTGAAACAGACTATGTCTAATTAAAATATGCCTTGCCTTGAAGGAATTAAAAGAATATTCCTTTGTTACATGGAAACAGTCATATCACAGTTCTGTAGCAGCATTATGATGAGAAGTGGATTTATTGCTCTGTACCAGGGAGTAAGTCTACGGTAGTGAACCTTCACTCTTTCACATAGTTCTGACTAAGGTGTGGGAAAGTCATGGGTATGTCCTAGTTCTTGGAAAGCTTCACTTTCCCTCCTTGAAATAAATTTCCACTGTTCATTGTCCATATTTTATAGGTATCATTTTTTTTCCTCTCCATTTTTTTCCTCTACAGGGGGGAGAATTTGAGGGCACCCTAAGTGCTGACCTCAAAGAGACAACCAGGCTGGAGTCACGGCTCATGCACATGACTTCTAAGGTGGCCCTTCTGAGAGAGGAAATCAGCCAGGGTGGAGTAGATGAGATGTAAAAAAACTCACTTTGCTTAGCAGAAAAGGTGGGTGCCTGTTTCTACAAGCTTTACCACAGGACTCCAACTCCCTGTTCAGAAATAGTATCTAACAATCCAAGTCACCCTTAAAATTAACTGTGGCAGCAGTAATGCCTGGAAGTGCAAAATTAATTGTTTTGGCTATCCAGGGGTTTAGTTGAAAAGGGTTGTATTTGGTTTTTCTAGCAAAATATAACTGTAACAACATATTTGGAATAAAAAATAGCAAATAAAACTATTAAATACTGTTATCAGTCCATTGCAGAGGGTTGCACTGAATAAGGTGCCCATGTGTGAGCATTATGTCTGTGTCTACTCTTCAAAACAAATGGCTGTGGAAACCTGGCTTGAAGTTTTGAATATTTGAAGGGGCAAATATTGGCTTGGTACCTTGTTCTCAAAAATTATAAAAGAAGTCTGCCTCAAGCAAGCATTTGTTCCTGCTGAGCACCAGTGGCCCTGGTCTGCTAACTGAGCTAGTCAAGAGTCCAGGGACATACTACTAGCCAGGAGAAAGCAAAGGGGCTTTTGCATTCTCCTTTGCATGGCCTTTGCCATGGCATTTACTGGCAAGGAGGAGGGTGTGACAATGCAAAGTCAGCCTGCAATTCCACTGGCTTGCACCTGCCTAATCAGTCAGAGGGCCAAGCTCTGTGTGTTTTCAGGTGTTGCTCTTTTTTGCCTCTCTTATTTGGTGTGGTGGCAGAATGTGATCATTTACAGCACTTACCCTTCCTGTGAAACCTTCCTTCATCCCCAGGGTGGAGGGGTTGTGTTCTTGCCATGCTACTTTTTAATGGAATAAATTAAACAACCTCCAGCTGCTCTAGCTCTTCCTCCCCACTTCCCACCTCTTGCCACAGGTCTTTGTGTCTGTCTGGTGTACACTCAGCAGGGCTCCAGCACAAGAACTTCCTGCTGGTCCCAGCACAAGCATGTGAATGGTCCTTGTGCAGCCTGCCTTTACAGAGGGTCCCTGCTGAGGAACACACCTGGTGCTGGGAGCTCTTGTGCAGCTGCAGGTTGTGCCCTGGGAGGTAGGAAATGGCTGGAGCCCCAGGCACGGGGCTGTCTGGCACCAATCCTTTGCCTAACAAAGGGCAAGGACATACTGGGTAACCACACACCCAGAGACTCAGCTGGAGACAGGGAAAGGGAAGACCCCAGACTAAGCATCACCAGTGCCTATTTGGAAAACTCTAACTGCAGGAAAACATCACCTTTCCCCAGGTGTCCTGCTTGCTGTATGTCTGCAAGTGAAAAAGAAAAGGCTCATTTGTGTGAGGAATCAGCTTAGAACCAGGCACAGCAAAGACTAAAGCCTTTATTTTAGATGTTAAAGCATGGATTTGTCTTTACAGATAGGCAGCTGCAGATGGCATGTATGTGAAAGGTTGTTTAAGTTGATTAGGCAGAGTGCATAACACCAGTCTATTCACAGGAACATGTTCCTGGAACAAACTTTCCTGTGGGGGAGAGGAAAAGACCTTTTGGGCAGCATTATTTGTTGTGAAACCCTTGCTGCAAGAGGGTGCTGGCAGCTCTGTTTGGACCTATGTCCTGCAGTGTCTCTTGTCCAGCTGTTTCCATCGTGTGCTCTGATGGTGCCACTGGGAGCTGCTGCCTTGTTTCCTGGGTCCTCCTGTGACCTTGCGGAGGATGCCTTCTGTCTCCACAGCATTATAAAAGGCACATATACATCTATATACAAGTGCATAAATATATAAATAGGGGCGTTATACAAAAATAAATACCCTTTCTCTTTTTATCTTTAGAATAAGTCTTTTGCAAAAGGCAGGTGGGCCCTAGGTGGTGGGAGGATGAGTCTCTAAGGGTCTCAGTGGTGGAGGGCTGCTGTTCAGATGTCTTGGTAGGTCCTGACCCAAAGATGTGATCACCGGATTCTGGGCATGGAGATCTCCTCTGGACTGGCAGCAGTCTAGTCTTTCTACCTCTTCAACTGGCACTAGGCCTAAGCAGCAAGGGCTTCCTGAGGGGAAAAGGAGCAAGAAATTATTACAATGCACACTGGAAAGACAGATGCAGTTGGAGGTTTCAACTCAACAGTTCACTTTATGAGGAGGGGTACTCTGATCAAAGAGGAACATCAGCATTCTGAAAGTCTGTGTGGAAATTTGATGATGCCATGATCACACAAAACAAGTTTGATCTGCACTACAGGGGTGGATCAATGGATTAGGTCCTAGAGAGACAGATTCACATCACTTGACTATGAGCCATCAGAAAGGCTCTGCAGTGAGATTTCCCTTCAACAACAGCTGAAGAAGGCATGGAGTTTTCCAAACCACTGACCTTGGTGGAGGAGGGTATCTTGTTGAGCATCCAGGCTAGGGCCTCTCACTTTGCTTCCCATCACAGGATGATGGAGGCCAACAAAGTGCTCTTGAAGATGAGGACAATCATCTTGTGGCTGAAGAAGCTGGTGAGTGGAGTCATCTGGGAGACTGTAGAGGAAAGAGCTGTCTTCTGTTCTGGAGCTGGGCAATCTGGGGAAGCAGGCAGAGATGTTTAGTGCTGTTTACAGATCTTTCCTCCTTGAAAAATACAACTCATGTCATGTGTCAGCCAGTCCATCAATGCTGTGACACAGAACATTCCTAAATGAGGGGAAGAGCAGAAATTGGGATGTACTTGTGGGATAGGAATGAAGGGATGCGAGACCCGATATCCATGATCCAACAGGTGGTGAATGCCACTGGAGCTGGGAGGAATAATCGCTCACAGGGAACATAGTAATGAAGGATGTCTGAACAGTGAGACAGAAAGCACTCACAGCTGGACACTGGGAAGATTCTGGGGCAGCTGTTTAGCAACATTAATCACAGATGTTTGCTTCTCTCATCCTGCTTTTCAGTCTCCCACTCAGGAACAGGAGGAGGAAAAGGAGACAGAGGGGAGTAGGTCTTGGCCACCTCTACAATTATATTATTCCTTCCTGAAATCCTAAGAGGAATGAGTTCTGCAAAGATAATTTAGACCAAGGTGTCCTAGTACTGGAGCACAGATTTGTTTGTCAAGAGTTGGGACAGACAGGAGTGTATTGAGGGCAGGCTTTTGTGAGCATGTAGTCTTGTGTGTCCCAGTGGATTGTACCACCCTCCCTCTCCACAGGCCAGGACTAACCTGGAGGGCTGGTAGTCTTGCTGGGCACTCCCATTCTGCAGCACTCTTGCCTGCAGCAAGGCGTTGCTCTCTTGGTGTGACTGGAAGGAGAGAGAGGATTCTTAGCAGAGCAATGACACACAGCAGCATTAAGAAGTAGGTACTGATCTGTGAGTCAGAGCCCTGGGGCAGATTGCTGAAGCTCTTACAGCAGAAGGCAGAAAAAGCTGAAACTGTTTCTTTTACTACTGAAGGCAGTGAAACTGAGCACTGAAAAACTCACTTTACACTTACTGCTGAATGAGTGGAGTATAAGCAATTTATAGACTCAGCTCTGGCACTGCCTGTTACCCCTCTACAGAGAGAGTCCTCAACACTATCAGTCCCTGTGAGCTTTGCTCCGGGGACATAGGAACTGTTCCCGTAAGAGTCACCTTTTCTCACTGCCTCCTCCACACTTAAGAGGCACTGGCCCAAGAAACCACCCCTTCACCAGCGTTTTGGAGACCTTCCTGTTCCCCCATGTCTCAGACTTCACTATGAAGGGGAAATGTCTTTTGGGAAGCCAGCCTTGCCAATTCTACATACTGCAAAGTGTGCCAGCCACGCCTGGAGAAGCCCTCTCACTGGCAAATGTGGCATCCAGCTCATGACAAACCAGCTCTTGATCCCAGGTGTGGACTAACCTGTGGCATTTCATCAGGGCTGTAATCTCGGGGCTTGGTGCTTGCATACCCCACTCCTGCAGAGCTGCAGATGCCATTCAGATGTGCCCTGCTGGCATAGGGCTGCCCATTAACAAAGGGATGTCCATTGGCACGAGGAGCAGAGATGCCTCTCAGAGGTACCATGGTGTACTGGCAGGATGACACTAGCAGCCCAGCTCCTGGAAAGCTCATGTCAATGGTTTGCTCTGCAGAGGGAAGGAAAAGAAAGTCTGAGGCAAAAATGAGAGGTAAAGTCAAGCTTGTTGAAGCTTAGCATGCATAGGGTTAGGCTGTCCTACCAGGCAGCTATTTTTGCACCCAAAGCACTCTTGGAAATAAATGGTGAAAAGGGGCCCTTTGCCTCTAGTGCCAGAGGCTCCTTTACTACAAGGCAAGCAGGACAAGGGACAAAACAGTGGCCTTTGTCTTTATGGGGCTCCACAGGACATCTGAGACTTGCTCTCTGCCCACGCCTTCCCTGCTTCCCAGAATTCCCTCACATTTTGGGTGTTCGCTGCAACTACACCGAGGGTCAGATTTAATCCAGAGGCAAACCATGCTCTGTAAATCAACCCCCAAGAAACAACCCTTACTCTGCTTGGACCAAGCTCTCCAAAGGCAAAAGGGAATGAAGGCCACGATGAGGAGTACAATGGATCCCAGCACAACGCCTACAATCAAGTACGGCAAGTCGCTGGAACGGGCCACCATGGCTCCTGTCCCCAGGCCACTGTGCCCACCACTGAGTGGGGGATGCTGCTGAGGGGGCACTTTGGAGGGTGGAAGACGACCTGGCAGACCAAGAGACTTCCGAGCTGTGGAAGGAAGAGAAAGAGAATGTTAGACACATGGCAGATGGCACAGCAGTCCAGGGATGTTAATGTTGCTGTGAAGTGGCCAGACTTCTATGGTGGCTTGAAAGAAGCACTCCTGGATGACAGGATTCCTAGGCTGATTCATATGGCAGTACAGACAAGGCCTCTGTGCTTGGCTCATAGCTCAGCCAGATCTGCTTGTGGACTGCTCAAGCAAAAGCAAATCCAAAATAGCTTCTCCAGTGTGCGCACTTGGACTTAATGCTGTTCCAGTCAAGACAGTGCAGCTGCTTTGAAGACAAAATGGGGCCTGCTTCTAATGCAACATGGAGTTCAGCACAGCAAGGGAAAGTTAGCCCTTCTGTTTCCAATCACCACCTATGTGATAGTCAGGAAAACAAAAGCCAACTGCTGCTTTGAGGGACAGCAATGGACTCTGTACAAAAGGTGAGCACAGACTGGGCACACTGATCAACACCATGGACAGCCCTGTGTCTCTCTTCTCTCTAGTGCTGCCTCCCCCACTTGGCTGAAGCTTGGGTAACGCACTGTCAGGCAGGGATGGTTCCTGCCCTGCTGTGCTCTGACAGCTGCAGGCAGGGGAGGCAGCAGCCATGCTCCCAGAGCTGCCCTGGGAATCCCTTACCTTTGGTTTCACAGATCATCACGTTGCTGAACTCGCTTTCACCTCCCTCGTTGAAGCACTGCATCTTAATGTCATATGAGGTCTCTGGCTGCAGGTGGCTGATGGAGTGCCAGTACCGATCTCCTGAGGAGGAAACAAACACATGGAGCTCTTAACCTCCTCAGGGAACAGGCAGCTGGCCCAGCTCTGCAGCAGTGCCGGGTAAAGCAGCCTGGATAGCCACTGTCTTTTGTGCACTGGGCTCCTTTTGGCTGTGCTGTCTTCCAGCAGGGACTAGGGGTGGGACCAGTCTCTCTATTTTTCCTACCTTCCACCACATCCTTCTTGTAGTCACTGTCATTGTCACTGTCAGTGGGGCGGTAGTAGATGTAAAATCCATGGATGGGGGTGTTGTTATTGCTGGCTGGGATGTACTGCAGAGAATGGAAGGGAGAGCAGAAATTAGCAGAGATGTCCATGCTTGTATTGTACTATTTGAGCAGCAGCTAGGATAAGTGGGATGGGAGAGGAAGATAACCTAGCAGAGGGGCCTTCCTTCTGTTGCCATTGATTTGCACAATGAAGGCTTCCCTACAAAAGCTCAATGCTACTTTCTACTCTCAAGCTTTGCTTCTCTCAGGTAACAGACAAGCTGTGGATCTGGGCCTGTCACTTCATGCATCCAGTGCTCTGTGCCCTCTCAGCAGCTACAGCCAGTGATTCAAGAGTAAAAATTCCTGAACAACAGTGACTCAGCTGGGTGTGAGCAAGCACACCATCATCTTGCCTTCAGCAGGCTCATGGCTTGCCATGAACTGGTCAATGCATGAGCTTTGTTTTTCTGAAGACAGGTCTCTTCCTCCCTGTCACCCAGGGCAGTATTGTCCCAGCTCCATGTGTTCTTGCTGTCTTTCACCCAGTATTTTATCAGCTACTGTTTGAGTTTAAAAGAACAGCAGTGCCCATCCTCCATTGTGGCAATTTCAGGTTATAAGCAGCTAGGAGAGGAGAGCAGTGCATCCCTCTGAAAAAGCTCTAAGCTGTTGAAAACACTTGGATCTGGCCTTGTGATCCAAAAGATCCTACCCACTCCTAAAAATCCTCTGGAGTGGACTGCAGTAAATTATTATCAGCATTTAGGATTGTTACCTAACAAATGAGAGTACAAGACGTATCAACTGGAAAATACTAGAAGAGAGGGAGGTGCTAATGGAGCAAACAGCCACCCCATGCATTGTTCAGCTGTGCTTATTGAACAAAATGGTCGAGACCCCATGGTTATCCACTGAAATCTTCCTGTATGCAATGTTGGATTCAGATGGAAAGGGTTTCCTAGGCTCTCTGACTTCCCACCCTTCTATGTGTCCCAAGCCCAGTCCTCCTTTGGTGGAGGGCAGCTACTGGATCCCAGATCCAATAGTTGCAGATGTGCTGGTGATGGGCTGCAGGGTGGGAACCTGGAGGAGATGTAAGCTGGGCAAGGAGCACCCTCACACCTGGTTCTTGCCCCTGCAGCGCTCTCCACCCCCACAAGCCTCACCATCCACTTGAGCATGATGGTGGTCTCGTTGATGGCGTCCGTGAAGGTGATGTAGGGCCCGGCCACGGGGCGCTCGTAGACACGGCTGCTGTACCCCGACACCACGTACGGCCGGGACGCCGCGCTGGGCTCGCTCTCTCCCAGGATGTTCAGCGCCCGCACACGGAATTTATAGGATGTGCCTATGGGGAAAATGAGAAATGAAATGGTTGCAGCATTTGGAGTTTTCCAAGATTTCTACTGTCAGCATGGCCCTGACTGTGATGAGGGGCAATGTCTCCAGAAGGCAGAGAGCTTACAACAAGTTTGTTGCGGAAGTACAAACACTGTATGGCCACATTTCAGCCATGTCCTAGATGGAGCCTGCTTTTATTTACCTTCCCCAATTCCTGTCTGGATGGTCCAAAGGTCAGACAGCAGTTTTGGAAGATGTGCAGGAGGTTAAGAAATGCCTGAAAGCATATCCTGACCTGAAAGCATGGAAATGGTATGGAAATGTGTTCTTCCTCTACTCCACGGGAATTCAATACATAAACATCAGTTCAAAGCTATGTAATTTTTACCCAAACTTCATTTTATTGGTCTTTAGTTTGAGGTAGTTATGTTTCCCTTTTAAGCTGTCCAGCTCAGTGATGAAATCTTTTCTCATGTGAAGTGCAATGGGATTTGTGAGCCCATCTGTCTTGCCTGTGACTAAGGAAAGTTCTGTCCTGTCTTGTAAAAGACAAAACCAAATGTTGTTAGTAACTGTATCCTGTAATACAGAAAAGCATGCCTAAGCCTCCCTGAGGGAGGTCAAACCTATGCTGGTCTCTGCAGCTGGAGAAATTGGAGAAGCATCTGCAGCTTTTTCCCCATGCACCTAGGGCAGGAGTCAGGAAAGTTTTGTTTTGCTCATGCATGCCAGGGCTGAGCAGGATGTGACAGATGGTTAACCATCCTACAGGGACCCTGCAGCTTTCCTACAGGCCTCCAGGAAGAAGGGGGAGAGCACCTGCCTACCTTTCTCCAGGCCTGGGATTTCCACAGAGAGGCGAGAGGGAGGAATATCACTGGTGGCCAGGACCCAGTCTCCCAACTTCTTCAATTTCTTATACTCCACGCGGAAAGACTGGATGGGGAACCCACCATTCCCACGGGGGATCCAGGTCACGTACACAGATGTCTCTGAGGCCATGGAGATGGTTGGACGGTCCGGTGCCTCTGGAGCTGCAAGGGACCCAGAAGGACATCAGGACATAAAACATATTCCTCTCACCCTGTCTGGAGGATCCTGTGGCTCCACAGTATGTGGGTGAAGGACTGCCTGCACTGCACCCAGCCACATGCTCTGCAACTCCTGAATGCTCTTCATTAGAGCTGGCACCCCCAAATCCTAATGTCTTTCAGTTTGTGCCCACAAGCACCTTTTATTCCTGCTTGCATCTTGCTCCTTTTCCACTCCCAGCTCAAGCAGGATGACACAAGGTTTGAGGTGTGATCACCCATCACGGGAGGGAAAGCAGTGAGAGGGGTGGATGCAGGGCTGGAGATGGAGCAAAAAGCCTGGGTGATGTGAAAGGAGTGAGCAGGGGGAGACTGATGCTAGGGAAAACCAAGTGTAGGAGATGGGAACAGGAGAGATTGAGAAGAAACAACTGAGAAGGAAATAAGGAAAAATTCTGAACTGTGGAAATACAATTTGACAGGAAAACAATCAAAAGATGGGAGGAAAAGAGATGAATGGAGCTATGGATATGAAAATAAAGACAACAAATGAGTACGGAAGAGACTGAAGGATGGGATCTTACAAGATTAGGATTGAAGGAGAGAATTTCACAGAAATGATAAAGGCAATAGTAATGATAGAGACAGGGTGGGAAACAACAAATTAAGATTGCTCAGTAAGGATCTGATGTTTATCCAGTGCAGCAAGATACCCAAATGGAGCACTCTGCACCCCTAGAATGGAAACTAATTGCCCGTAGCCAGGACATGCAGGTACTTGGTCCGCATTCCTCCCTGACACTCCATCAGCACCCATTGGTGCAGTGCAGTTTATTCTTCCTATGCTACACACATTCACAGATTCCAAGAGAGGGCTTTCTGAACTCTTCACGTGGAATTCAGCAAGAGACCGAGAGTTGCTGAGATGTCCTTGCATTAAAGGTGGAGCCAGGCAGTGGGATTTGCCTGCTCTCCAGGAGTGACTGTCTGCCAAGAGCAGTAGTAGGGGTATCCAAGAAGGACCTCTCCTTGTCAGAAGCTAGAAAACACCCATCCAGCACTGCAGTCTTGATTTACTCAGCAGGGATTTAAACCCCAGCATGGCCTGGCCACTACCACCCACAAGAGCCCCAGCACCCCTCACCCTCCCAGGGTTCAGGGAGGGCCTTACGGGACAGACGGCTGTTGTCGGCCTGGTTACTGCTCTGAGTGCTCGTGCCTGGGTCATCCCTCTGGATCTGCTGCTCTTTGCTGGCAACTATCTCTGGCTTTGGGCGCCGCCCTGTGCAGAAGGGAGAGGTGGCATCAGTAACGGAGAGATGCACTCAGAATTAACTTTCACTGTGATGAGGAAAGCAAATACACCCAGACAGGATGCAGAGGTAAGTACCTCCTGGACTCTGACAGCTCTAGGGGCTCAAAGCACTCAGCCTGCTGGCAGGAACAAAAGCTAAAGCGGCAGATTTGTTAATAGATGTCCCTCATATTTAATTTTCTACAACTTTTAATTGTTTTTCTTTGAATGTTGCTAGATTTCTGTCTCCAAGAGATTAAACAACCTCTTGAGATTTATGCTAGACCCATTTTCTACTGTTCTGCAGGTGTTCAACTGAGACACCAAGTGAATAAGGGATTTTTACCAAGCCACACAGATGATGGGTTGGAATTTTCCCCATCCTACACTCCACTTTCCCTTCTGACAGTTGCTCTAAGCTGAGGGCAGATGGGTTTCCAGAGCAGAAACACTCCCATTGTCTAAAGGCTGGTGCCTTGTGCCTCAGGGCTGGGACAGGATGTTTCAGAGGGGTCCTCCCCTGACTCAGAGCAAAGGGGAACCCGGGGAAAGGCCTGCCCTTACCGGTGCGGAAGGTCACCATGGCTGTCTGTCCCTCGCCAGCACAGTTGTGAGCAGCCATCTCCACCTCGTAGAGGCTCCCGGGGTCCAGCCTGGTGAGGGTCAGGCGGTGCTGCGAGGCTGGGACATCCCTCACAGCCCAGCTGTCTGAGGTGTTGGTGACCTGCTGAGAGACCAATGCAGGTGTTGCAGAGCTTGGGGCAGGCTGGGCTTCTTGCAGGCACCCAGCTCAGAAACTTTATTAGTAAGTTGTGTACCAACCACATCTACCTTCCCTTGCCTCTCTGCAAAGGAAAGAGATGGTGCCAGCCTGATTTTGCAAAGGAATTCAGGTATAAGCAGGACAACTCACCCAAGCCCCACAGTGTTTTCTTGACCCCAGGGTTCAGTCAGTCCTGTTCTGTCTTCTAGTTCCCTTTGATACTACCACCCCTTGATGTGTGTAAATCTCCAGAACAGGTGTGGCCCCCAAAATGCAGCATTAGCCACAGGACTGAGCTGCTTTAGGAGCCAAATCTTTCCTGCAGCCCAGCTGCTGACCTGCTCATTTAGATACTGGCCATTTTCAAGGGATGAGGTACCCAGACACACTTAGTTTTACTGAGTTTTATCCAGCCTCAGCCCTGGCACTTTGGGGCTCAAATAAAGAGCCATAATGCTGGAGCAAAGGTTTCTGCAGGGAAGAGACTGTGTATGGCCATAGCCCTCAGAGAAGCTTGGAAACACAGGGGGTTTTTTTGTGATACCCTGATGCCCTATGCAGAGGGGGAGGGAAGGTGGAACCTTCCTCCTTCTCCCTGGCTGCAAAGATAATATTTTTGCAGGCAAATAGGCAGGACACTGAAGTGACCCAGTGCCAAAAGGAGAATTAGTAATGCAGGCAACGCAACAGAACGGAAATGCCAAGACTCTGCTGTATCATTCATCTTTTCTCCAAGCGTTTGACACTGACTGATTAATGCCTGCCTCATTTTATTTTTATTCCTGAGCCTGCAAAGTTCTGAGGCCAGGAAGGGGAGCCCTAAAGGCTGCTAATATGCAGGAAAGGGAAAGAGAAATTCTTAAGAAACAAAAGTAAGGGCTGCATGGCATCTGACTGCTTGCAGGCTGCTGAGAGTTTGGGGCAGTGTAGGAACACAGTAAAAAGAAACATTCACAGATATTTTCTAGAGAAGAAGCACAACCTCGCCCAGTACAAATGTAGGTCTCCTGTCAGTAGGTTTAACTTTCTATACAGCCATCTTCTACACAAAGAGCCTTTTCTTTTGTGGCTGAATTGATTCCTTCCCTCTCCACACACATGGTTTTCCAGTCAGAAATGTCAAAACCAGATCATTATATAACTTGATCCTAAGGATCTTGGATAGAAAGAGACTCTTTCTAAACAAGTTTAAGGGTTATTGGGACTAATTCCTTTCCACACAATCCTTAAGCATCCCAAGAAAGAGTCTCCAGCTGAGAATTTGGACTACACTGAAAACACATTACTGCAAACTGCAGTGACCCATGGTGACCTTCACTGCCCCACAGCCCCTTCCAGGTGAAGTGCTGAAAAACAAATCAAATATGGACAAACTCCAAGGCTGCAAGTTAAGATTGCAAGCAGAATTGGTAGTTACATGATACACCACTGGGGAATAAATCTCCTCTTGGCAGACAACCAGAGCCAACAGTCTGAGGATGCTTTTGGCATCTTTGTTTTTTTATTTAAGCTTGCTCTATTGTGTTCCTGTGTTGGCATCTTCTGCCTTTGTTTTAAAGGGCTCTTAAAAAAGATGGTTAGCTGAAATCCTCATCTTAATTTTTTTTTGAAAGAAATCAAGGATTGTAAAAGTTTTCTATTACACTGTATTTTCACAAAAGCACACAATTCCAGGAAAATAGATACATATATTCACATGTATGTGAAAATGGTGCCTTGCAGTGGGTGGGAGTCCCCAAACATGTGATTTGGCATGTTTTTGGAATACACTCAAACCCTCTGGGGGGTTTGAGGCAAAACCTGCCTCTCTACTGCAACTCCTTGCCTACCCAAAGGGAAGAAAAGCAGCAGAAAAATAAATCCAAGCCCCTTTTTTCCACTTATCTCCAGCAAAATGGAAAGAGATACTTTGCACCTCAGAAGAAGAAATTTTCCCTCAACAATGCTTCAGCATTTAAAAAAACTGCTGGGCTACAGCTGTGCCTGCACTGTGCCCATGGTGCCATGAAAAACCCCAGAGGGAGGAGCCCTTGGGCTCCAGCAGGACTTGGCCATGCACCATGTGCTCACACTGTGCCACCTGCAATTGATGTACTCCACAGTGCACTGCCTTCCAACTTCCAGAATAAAACTGGGGGATAAGGACCTTCCAGAGGATGGTTATGACAGCTCTCTGCTGGCTCCTCACACTCACTGAACATGGGCACTTCGGTGCTGCTGGGCAGGGCAGGCACATGCAGAAGAGAGGATGATGCTCTGTGTCACGCAGTCCGTTCTGTGTCCCTGTGGCTTGTGCCAAGACAAAATTATTCCAGAGCAAGTCATTGTGCAACCTGCCCTCAGGGCTTCCTACCTGTGCAAGCACACATCTGGGACTGGATGTGGAAGCTACTGGCGAAGTGTGTGCATGTGCCTTCTGCATACTTAGGCAGACAGGCAGTGCCACTGGGCTCTTCCTGGACAGCTCAGCAAACCTCCTGTCACAGCCTGTATCCATCAGGCTGAGGCTGCAGCTCAGGAGGTCCCACTATCCAATGCCACCAGTGAGCAATGGGTGAAATGTGTGGTGAGGCCACCAGCTCACCCATGGAATGGCGCAGAGGAAAGATGGGAGCAGGGCAAAACAGCAATACCTTGCGATGCTTCACCACGTAATAGAGGATGGGGGCTCTGCTGTCAGGCCGGGGTCTCCACACCAGGTCGTAGCTGTCTGTCTTGGATGTCCGTGGAGAACTGAGGATGATGGGGGCTTCAGCTGGAGGCACCAGCTCCTTGTTGGCTGCACACTGTGAAGATGCTGCTAGAAGAGGGGTTGTACCAGGCTTGGGCAGTCCAGCTTTATCCAAGGGCAGCTTTAAGGTGCTGTCCCTGGAAGGTGGTGTTGGAGATTGAGACGAGTGTAGCTGGGCATCTCGCCCGGGGTTGAGTGGAGCTCCTGGAATACAAAGTGTCACAGCAGGATAAACGTCCATCCTAGTCTGTGGTTAAGGCAGAGCTGTGAGCCCCCTGTGCGGTACTGCCTGCAGTGCCACTCAAAAAGGTATTGGCAACAATCCCTCCTTCCCCTGCTATAAACGACAAGGTTCTCTGTCTCTCTGAAGTCCCTCTTACCCTGTGTAAGTTCAACAGTGTCCAAGGAATCATGTGGTACCTCTCCTACCCCAGGTAAATCCAGTTTTTAAGCTCTTGCTCAGTGCAAGTTCAGAGGCAGAGCTAAGCCATGGGGTAAAGCACTACAGCCAGATGTCTTGTGTCTCCTGTGTAGAGATCACCCAAATGTGCACAAATGGCCCTGCCCTTAGAAGCAAAACTGGTGTCATGTGTTCCCAGAGGGAGATACAGAGACCTCAGGCAGAACAGCACTTGCAGCATAGGTTAAATAGGAAGTAAGGGCAACACCCCAACTTTCTTCCTGTGCTTCCCCCGACCTTGTCCTGTGTGTTAGGCTGTGATTGAATGGCCATGACTTTAGAGAGAGGGGCTTACCCGGGCGGGCTGTCCTCAGCTGCACCAAGGCTTGGGCGCTGCCCACCTCGTTCTCGGCCATGCACTGGTAGATGCCCTCGTCCTCGGGCCCCACGCTGAGCAGCCGCAGCACCCGGCGTGACAGCCGCAGCCGCCGGCTGCCCGACAGCGGCACCGCGTTGTGCAGCCACATCACCGAGGGCTGCGGGTTCCCGCGCACCTTGCACGTGAACTTGGCGCTCTGGCCCCAGGGAATGATCTGCTGGGACAGCTCCATGGTGACCTCCGGGGGTTCTGTGTGAGGAACAAACAGACTGCTGAGTGCCGCTTGGCTGGGAGCACAGCGCAATCATGGCTTTGCACCTTCCTCTCTGGCAGGGATGAGAGCAGAGTGATGGATCCTTTCCTACTCTAAGTCCCACTCTCTTTGTGAGGGCCCACATGGGTCTGCTTCAATGCCCCTCCCCTTCAGCATCCACATAAACTGCAAAGGAAGGTGGCCCAAAGCCATCTGCCCTCTCACATGACATCAGACATCTAGTCCCATTTTTCAGAGCTGAAATGCTACTCTGCAAATATTGTGCTTGTGCCACAACAACACATCAGCACCTGATGAAATGCAATTTGTGAAACACGGGCTTAATCTCCCTAAAAATTGTGAGAATGGAAAGTATGTGTGGTAGAAATATCTGAGGTGTAGTATCCCTAACATTTTCTACTCCACAGAGAGCTTCCCTACAAAACAGAACAAAACCAAGACACTCCAATGTCTTCCTTATGCCAATGTCAAATATGTCTAAAAAGCAACCAGCTTCCACTAGAAAGTATTGGAAAAAAAGCAATGCCACAACTGACAAGAGAAGAGCTTCTGCAGAGGAAAGGAGGATCCATCATCTCCAGCCCATGATGGGAGCCAAGAAGGAGGAACTACTACCCTCAAGAAAGAATTAGTCTGTCTCCTGGAAACTGGAACCACAAGCAGGGGTTTGCATTACATTGTGGTTTGTCCAGGGAGGGGAAGAATGCTTCCATGCTAGTATCTTCCCCTAGAAGATGATGAGATGTCCAAGCCCTCCCTGAAACAATGGCTCCAGCAGCACTCACCAAACACCTGCACGTTGTAGAAGATGAAGGCAGCCCCGGCCTCCCCAACGCCATTGTCAGCCGTGCAGCTGTAGGTGCCCGAGTCCTCCTCACTCGTGGGGTCGATCAGGAGGTTGCTGAGCAGGAAGCGTGTCTTGTTGTAGGCGGAGACGCTGGAGCCATCCTTGGCCCAGGTGACCCGCGGCGGGGGGATCCCGCTGGCCACGCACTCCAGGATGAGGCTCTGGCCCTTGGTGACGATGATGGTCTGAGCCTCAGGAGGGTAGATTATCCGGGCTGCCTCCGCTGTGGAGCCTGGGAAGAGACGTGGAGGAAGGAGGTGCATGGGAAGGAAGGTGGATGGTGGGAGAGCACCCACTGCAGTGGGTAGGTAGGGATAACAGTACGGCACACTGTTTTCCTGTGCTGGGGAAGGTTAATGTCAATGCAGGACCAGAGAGACATTCTGTAAGGGTTCTGTGCACACAACAAAGCCACCTTGCCAACAGGCTAAAGGCCTTTGCCTGCCCACCACCACCAACAAATGCTAAGGAAGCATGGCAATCCCAGGGCTGCATACACATACTCCAGGAGCAGACCTTGGGGCCTTCTGCTTCTGGAATGGAGTTTTCTCAGCAACTGATGATTCACACAGAAAACCAGCTGCACCAGATAGCACTGATCAGTGTCCCCAGAGCTGGAGATGTGTGGTGAAGGGAGAATGGCTTACGTCTCACACGGAGCCTCTCACTGGAGACTGAAGTTTTCACCTCCTGTGTCACAGGGTTGTAGGCAGCACATTTGTAAGTCCCCTCATCCTCCTGGCTGGCATTAACAATCTGAAGGTTTCCAGATGGCATAATAAGATAATTGTCTGTAGAGAGAAAAGAGAAAGTGGCACATGGTCACAAGATATGCTCCTGTCCAGCCCCCTAGAAGATATGCAGTGTCCTGAAGAAAAGGTGGGCAAGGGGGAAAGAAAAAAACATGATGTCCCAGGCAGCATGGACATCAGGGAGACCATGCCAGGGATTCTGAAGTAACTTGGGCTGAGACAGGTGGCAAAGGGACAAAGAGGCAGCAGGTAGAGACAGCTATGGCTGGTAAGGAAGGGCGAAACCAAGGGTCCTGTGGCGGAACCTGTTGGGACAGACCCCCGGGCACTCACCTCGGGAAGCCTCCAGCCACTCCTGCTTCACACTGTAGCGGACTTGAGCCTTGGGGTGACTTTCGGGCAGGTCGCAGGCAATCACGGCTGTGTTCCCTTCATCCACCTCGATCACATGCTGGCCGTCAAACTTGAAATCTTTGAGATCTGCAAAGAGAGTAGAAGACAAGGCACCTCAGTGGCTGGCTACACATCTCAGTGTCAGCTCATCCTCTCCCCACGGGCTGGGGGCTGTTTCCTCATGGTGCCGGCAGAGGACTGTTCTGACCCCAGCTGCTAGGGAAACTGGCTTGCTTTCAGGTTTCCCCGTGCCGCCCCCCCCCCCCCCCCCCCCCCCCGGCCCCCCATTTTTTTCCTACAAAATGAGTAACTTAAAACACAGCTTCTGGAGAAACTGCCTGCTCTAGGGCTAGGAAACTGGGCGTGAAAAATCCTGGCCTGAGAGTAAAAAATAAGCCAACTTACTGCAGTACTGAAGGGCAGCCAAAAATGGTCCTTCTGCTGCCTGCTATTCCACACATGGCTGCTGTTCTGCTACTGAGAAGCTGACTTTGTAGTTGTAACTCAGGGAGCCCAGCCTGCTTCAAGGGTACAGATGCCAGGTGGGAGGAAGTGTGTGCAACCCCCTGAGCTCCTCCCACACCTGAGAAATCAGCATCTCTGCTCCAGGCACTCTTGCTCCCATCAAATATCTCACAGCTGAAAGCTGGTTAACCACAAAACCTCACATATGCCCAAGCTCCAGTTAAAAGAACAGGAACTTGCAAGGAAAACCAGCTCCTCCTCTATGTGGCACAGCCGCTCCTTCCCTAAAGCAGCTGTGAAAACCCTGTCACACCATGTCCCTCTGTCCATGCTGTGATGGGAGTTCCCACCCTGGCCAGGCTGATGTGGGCAGCATGACTGGAAGCATAGGAACTAAGAGGAAGGGGTACCTAACTTTTTGTTTTCTTTTCCCTGTTTTTTTAAAGCAGGAAGAGAGGAGGGCAGCAAAACCCCACAGATCTGTCAGGGCAGGGAGTATGCCAACCTGGCCCCACCAAACTTTCCAGAGGCAAAACTTGTTCCCATCCTCTCTGGGAGTGACGGCAAATCTTGCTGAGGCACTGCAAGCTTGAAGTTTGTCTCAGACAGCATGTGCTGTGAGGGAAGAGGTTTTGTGCCAGGAAAAAAGTCCCTCGTGTGCATTTTTACAATGCTGTACACCAGCCTGGGTGTCCACTAGCAAAAGCGGCACATCCCACAGTTGGTTGTTCTCACAGGTGACATGTCACACCGTCACATCAAGGCTCAGGTTGATGGGTTAGTGGGTTAGTGGGTTGGTGCTTCTTCCCAGGACACAGGGCTAACATCTCCTGAATGGCATGCCACTAATTCTGGATGAGACTACACTTCCTTTGCAAAACCCCACTCTAAGGCAGTGTTGCATCTGCAGCCACGGCACGGCCACGTGCTGTCAACAGCTCCCTTGCCCCAAGAAACACATCCCAGGACATGGCACCTGTGACCTCCAGCAGTTTGGGGCCTGGGGGGCAGCATGAGAGCTGGTGGCAGGCAGCCTCCCTTGGCAGCCCCAGCCAGCAGAAAGATGTGGGGTTTGTTCTCTGGAAAATGCAGCAGCGCTCCAAGAGCGAAAGACACTCTGGCTCCAAGCTTCTCCCACCCACAGTCATGGAAAAGTTACACGAAATTTCTCAAGCAGACTTTCTGATTAAAGCAAGATCTTTTATAGAGTTTAAATAAAAACCAGCTCTCTTGGCAAGGCATCGAGAAAGCCTCCCCAAGTGCAGTGCGGAGGGGCTGTCGGGCGGCTGCTGGGGGAGCCAGCGGTCCCAGGCCCAGATCTGAGGGAAGGGGAGGAGGTTGAAAAGAAAAGGGGAGGTTTTGCAATGTCATAAAGATTTGCAATGAACATGCTTAATACTTCTGGAATTTCTTGGCATTGTTCAATTAAGAAAAATAATAAAAAGAAGGAATACGGGTGAACTTCAGAACTGTGATTAATCCTTTAAGACAAGCTGAGGAGGGGAGCCATGTTTCCACTGCATATTAAAGCCAGATGAAAGTTAACTCTTAACTTGTGAAAAGCTGGCAGTGCCTCACGCTCCTCCTCCAACGAAAGTTACTGCTGGGGCAGGGAAGGATGATGGATATTTTCTCCTCTGCTTTTTATGTTTGATCAGGAATAAAATAGTGAGAGCCACAGAAATGGAAAGAGGTGGAGAAGTGGCAAAAGCCCAGTGTGTGCCTGCCCACATGGGCAGTTTCTCCGATCAACATGTTTCTCCGATCAACAAAATATAAACGAGCATCAGGAAAATTAATGTGCGCCTTGGTGGTCTGGATTCATCACAGTCGAATTAAGATTTTGGAGCCAAGGCATAGGCTCCAGCAATGCTGGCAGGGATCTGCACATACACACTTACATGAGCACGTGTACATGCACACACACCCTGAAGAGGAGAAGGGGCCCAAGAGCCTGGAAAAAGATCAGGACCTGGCATAGCAGAGCCATCTTGAAGATGGAAAATTATGACCCTGTGCCAGGACACCCCCTGGGATGACTGTGGGCTGGACAGACATGGGGACCTCTCACAGGCAGCCTCCCCACATGGTGACTCAGCCCACATCTCTCAGCTGTGGGTGCTGCAGCCCCACAGTAGGGAGCTGCAGCTCTTCCTGGCTTCCCCTCAGCCCGGAAGTGAGGGACAAGGGGTGAAACTGTGGAAGAGGAGAGAGGGAAATTGTGGAAGAGGGGGAAAGAACAGAGCAAAGGAAGGGATCCTGGGGTGGCTGGAGGAGCATGAACCAGGTGCCTTTGGAGAAGCAGAGTGAAACTGGCAGGAGAGAGGGGAAAAATAGCAGAACTGTGACAAACTACTTTTTCATATGCCAAGTGCACAAGCTTCCTGCCAAACTACTCTCCTAAATTCCTGCTTCCCCACAGAGAACAAGGCTGGTTTATCTGCCAGTGGATCTTGGCCACGGGCGATCTCAACTGCCCTGCTCACCACTGGTATGGGCATGTAGAGCCATCCTTTAGCACTGATGGGTCAGCCAAAGCTGGTGAGGGGTGGTCTGGGTCATCCCTGTCCCCCTCTGGGCATGGGACAAGCTCCCCCACACACATCCTGTTGTATTTGGCCCCAGCACAGCCAAACAGAGGACACTGTGCCAAGCTGAGACAACCAGCTTCATCCTGGGGGGTTCAAACAAGCTGCCCCTGAGTTGTGGGGGGACCATGCATGTCCCCCCAGCAGGAAGGGCTGGAGGACAGGATCCATGCCAGGGGGATATGCAGCACTTGCCCCTTCAGCTGCGCAGCCAGCAGCAGCCAGGCCCCACATCTAACATGCAATTTGCACCAGAGTCCAACAACCACTGCAGCTGGGAGTAACCACATCCCCTCTCACTGGCTGGGTTTTCCTTCTCATATGGCAGCATCCAGCATGCCAGCCCATGTTCTTGTCCTTAAAAGACACGCCTGACCACAGTGAAGCAAGTCCTCATCTACCAACCATTGTCCAGGAGGTGCTGCGGACAGACAGACTGAGCACTGCTGACTTCAGCCATGCTGGGACAAGAGGGCTTTTTTTTCCCCCCTTTTTGTGTTTAGGAGGGAGTGCAACCAAAGGCCATTGCTTATGTCCATCTGCAGCCAGCTCTGAGGCGCGATGGGGTGAACCAGGGTGCAGGCCTGCAGCCAACTGTGCTGCTGTCACTGGGGAGGGAAACCAGCTGAGTCCCAGGGCTGGGGGCCAAGCAACGAGGCAGGCGAGACAGAGCCGATTAAATGAATGGGAGACCATAAATAACTTTGGATAAGAAGCAATAGTAAATGAAATTATGGCCCCAAGATAAAAGTTCTCCCTGCCATAGGGAAGAGTGAAAGAAGAAAGGAAGAGAAGGGGAATAGGCAGGAATAGGGTCCTCCAGCCTGGGGGCAGGCACCCTCCACTACTCTCCCCTCAGCTGTGAGAGCAGCCTAGGGCTATGGCTTTCACTCTCCATCCAGCCTGGGCACTGGTGCCGTCACCACCAGATTCCTCCTACCCTGCTGAGACAGGCACCTACTCACAACCCCCCCACACATCTCCCCCACCCTGGGCCCATCTCACAGTCCTCATGCCACATCTCTGCTGCCTCACAAAACACCACCTGTGCTTTCCTTCTTTCCACTCCTCATACCACCTCTGCCCCTGGGGCCAGAGCCCCCATGCCTGCTCTGCCTATGCTTTTCCAACAGGCAGCCATCCCCTTTCTTCCTTCCTTCCCTCCCTCTCTCTTGCCATTGCCTCTGGGGAGTATCAGTGGGGAGGCCCTGGCAAAGGAAAATGAATGGGGCTGTCTTCAGAAAGCAGCTGCAAATTCCTGGGGGATGCCCAGCCCGACCCCGTGCAGGGTCACTGCCCACAAGCTCCACACGCTGAGGCCCAGCTTCCCACACGTGCTGCCACAAGGCTGAGGACTGACCTCACCCGTGGCACCAATGGATGCAACAGGGCACTGAGCTGCCCTTGCCCACTGCATTCCTGGCACACAGGTACCACAATCCCACACCCCCGGCCACAGGGAACTCTGGAACAGTGGAGTTTTTTTGCTGCACCCCTCATCTATTCTTCTGTTTTGGTTTTAAGTATCATGTCTATCCAGGTCAGACTTGCTGCTGTGTTTGCTGCCCTGATTTTCTATGCATACAGATGAGTGCTGGGAGTTATACAACCCTCGCTACCTCTGCTCACCAGTCTTGCTCCAGCCCTGCATTTCAGTTGCCCCTGTGAGCTCCCAACCTTCCAAACCTCTGTTTGGCTGTTACTGAACCAGCCCTCAGCAACGTGTATAAGTCTCTGGTGGAATCACTTGGTCCCACCAGAGCCTATTGCAGCCATGCCTTTTACATACAGCAGCCCTATCTAGAAGGGCTGGGGCAGGGCTTTCTGGCAAGATGACAACTTTGCTACCTAGAATCAGGCACAGAAAGCATCTCTCTCTTCTTTGCAGCTGTCATTCATATGAAGGCTTAAAGCCTGGCTTGAAAAACCAGGGATACTCCTGTTCTATCCATACAAGTTGTCCCAGACTGCAGTGCTGCCCTGGGGCCTGCAGGGTTAATCTTGTGCACCACAGTCAGGCCAGCAGTGATCAGCACGTGTGACCTGCAGTGACTTGCACTGATATGCCATGGGCAGCCAAGATCGTATGGAGCACCAGCTAAGCTCTAACTGGACTCAAAGGTGCCCAAGTAATGCCTGAAGTGCTGCTCCCTTTGCCACTTCATGAAATCTTTCCCTTCTGCAAATCCCTCCACCTCTTGAATATACAACAGCTATTTTATCTCTGCTGGAGAAATTAAATGCAAGTTTCAACCAGCTCTCTGAGCCAGGGGGAAGAGAGATGGCCTCTGCATCACTGTGCTGCAGATGAGAGAAGGAGGTGTGAGTCCCAGGGCTATGCCTGGCTGCCAGCACTGCAATGATGCTTATCTGCTTGCTGACTCTCAGCAGGCCCCAGGGCAAGGGCACACAGAGCCTGGGGCATTCCAGAGTGCTTCCTTCAAAGAAGGGCCAAAGAAAGGAGAAGAAATAGCCTAAAAGTTGGCCAGACAATTTTACCTACACTCCTCAAAACCTAGCGAGTCACTTCTCCCAATGACTCCAGGTCTTCTTCCAAAATAAACCTAAGCCTCGAAAATATTTCCATAACTCTCCTTCCCCCCACTGCTTTCATCCACACATTCCAGTTTCACTTTTCCCCTGCCATTCCAAAATAATTTTTGGATGGAACTAAGACTTTCAGAGGGTTTTCTTTCAGCCCTGAAGGTTATCTGGAGGAGATTTATCAACTGCAATGCTGACCTGCCATGGGCTTTCCTCTCACCATGGTCATCACTGAATCAGTTTTGAGCAAGGTCTGGTAAAGAAGGTCTGGAGCAGGAGAGGGAGCCCAGGGCACACCTGCTACCACAGCTTTCAAGTCTCACCACCAAGTGGTACTCCCTGCTCTTTCAGAATAACACCACTGTTACAAGCAGACTCCAGCTCATGAACATGAGACTGGTTATTTGAGCCCCTCCAGAAGGTTCTCCTCCCACACCTTCAGTCCCACACCTTCACTGGGATGCCCTATCTTTCTCTTCACTTATTGACTGCTAGATCTTCCTCACCTGGGTGCTCTCTATCACCTGAGGCTATCCAGGTGTGTGGAATACAGCCTCTGCCATCCCCAGCTACCCCTGAGGATGAGGGACCCATGCAGCACAGGGGTTTTCCACAATGGATTAGCTGCTTGATCATGCAACCTCTGGCTCCAGTTTTGTGAGCTCCACTGAGTGGTGCTCCTGACTTCCTCTCAGAATTGTGTTTGCCATGACCGGGACCACAGCAATGGCCAAGTCCTTCTCTTGCACACACATCCCCAGTTGCAATCCCCAGTAGGCAAAGATGATTTGGCTCTTGGAGAGGGCTGATGCACTACTCAGAGGCTTGGATTTTCCTGAAGGGCATGGTGGGGCCTTCTGGTGCCTTAGGACCTGTCCCCAGTTCTCCACTAAAGCAGTCAGATAGGTCAGAGATACTTTTCCCAGGAGACAGAGCTGGTGGTAATGGGCTGGGGTGCGAGTGAAAAAAGAAAAGGAGCGCTACTAAGCAGGAGCTGATCAGGCTGAGGAGCTGTGCACACCCTACTCTCCTAAATTCAAACCATGCCCTTGGTAATCCCATCCACCTCTCCCCTCCTCTCCTCCTTCTCTCTATCAGGCCACCAGCACACACAGCCCCCTTTCTGCTCTGGAATCTGTTCTCCAAAACTTAATCTCAGCATGGGGCTCAGGCCAAATCCCCCAACAGATTCAGCCCCGTGACAACCCCCTCCCACCCTGCCTCAGAGTTCAGCAATTCTCTCCTTGCTTTCCCTGGCCTCCTCCTCCTCTCACCCAGCCTGGCCTAAACATTTCACTCCTGATTAATGTATCAGTGGCAAGGCAATAGTTCTTGGCTTTACAGCAAAGCCAGGCCCCACTTTGCACAAACATCTTCCCATCTTCATTTTCATAAGACTTAGCCCCAAACTCCTTTTTGCTTGGAAAGATGAAGCCTTTTCTATGCTCAGGGACTGTCACTGTAAGGTAATGGCAGCTTCCTCTGCATATACTTGCTCCACCAAACACTCACTGTGGATTTCTCAGAAGGTGGGGCTCTCCACTGCTCTTTCTCGCATGCATCCAAATACAGTGCCCTCTGGCCAAATACACACAACATCTGGCCAAAACCAGGTGCTTGTAAGAAAAATTGCCCAGCTAAGACACCTCAGGCCACACACACATTTCTCAATGCCAGAGGGCAGCAGTGAGGAGCATGTAAGCTCAGGGATAGGAGCAAAGTCCCTTGCTCAGAGCTGTGTCTCAGGAAGGCAGTAAAACTTAGCACACACTGACCCTGTGCTGGCAGCAGTCCTGCAGCAGCCTCAGCAGCAGTCCTGCAGCAGCCTCAGCAGCAGTCCTGCAGCAGCCTCAGCAGCAGTTGGACCATCAGCACCAGCAGGTTCTATTCATAAACTCCATCAATAAGTCAGGAACCAGAGGAGGCAGCCTGACTGTCAGGAAACCAGCCACATACACAAACCCCACAGCTCAGGTATTCCCTGGGCTTGCAAAGAAGGACAGATCTGCAGCCTACCACGTAGAAGGAAGACAGCTTGGGTCAGACTGGGCCACACCACATCAGCCAGTCCACAATCAAAAATGCTACAAAGGGCCTAAGCCAAAGCAGTCATTCCTTGATGCCAGCATGAGCAAACAAGAATGGATGAGCCTCTCAAGATGTGTGAGCAATGGCCCAAGCAAAGCAGGGGCTGTCAGAGAACTAAAGCTACTCACTAGCTAGGGTGACCACTGCAGGGACACTGGCAATGACTCCTTCAGGCACACGAGCGATGCACTGGTAGCGCCCCACGGTGTGGTTGTTGAGAGCTGTGATGATGAGCTTCCCTCGCTCCACATGGATGCCCAGCACCTCGTCTGATCCAGCCAGCTCCTTCCCGTTCAGTCTCCAGGTGAGGTTCACTTGGGGGGGGTCCACCACACAGCCCAGGCTGACTGGGCCTCCAAGTTTTTGGACAACAGAAGCAGGTTGCACTGTGACCTGCAGTGATTCACCTGCACGGAGGGGAAAAAATGGGAATAAGAAAGCTCTGTGAGACTCAGAAATAGAATGGACAGAGGAAAAAGCTGCAGTACTGTACATTCTGCATTCCCAATGGCCTCTCCTTGTGTTGCACCATCCCCTTGACTCCTCACACACCCACCCTAAGTTTTAGAGATGTACACCAGCCTCATTTCTTCCTGGCACCACCTGAGAGAATGTTCCACTCCAAATGCATCCTCCTCTGGAAGAGGGTTTAAAGCCAGACTCTTGGTCAAGGCTACTCAGGGAAGAGCAGACAGAGGAAAGCTCTTTGTCCCTGAGGCATGGCTATGCTAAACAGCATTGAGGCAAACCAGAATGGGTAAAAAAAGACACTCACTCAGTTTGGCAAAACAGCTGGCAGCCGCAAGCACGAGGCAAGGGATGGGGGACATGGGCCTCTTCCTTCCACGTGTCATTGCCATCCCATGCGGTGTGACCTGGGGTGCCCAGGGAAGGGTCCCATAAGCTGCCTCAGGGGATGCAGTGGATTTGTGGCAATGGATTCCTGTGGATGACAAGAGACATGATGGATGAAACCCTCAGGCTTCCCTCTGCTTTCCAGCCCTGGCTTCTCTACCAACATCCCTAACCACCAGATTCACCAAGCCAGTGGCCTGAGGAGACTAAAAATTGACATGCAAGCATTTCTCTTCTCCAGCCTCTCCCCCAGGCATGGTTGGGAGTCTCCCAAGACATCCCATCCTCAGTACACATGCACACACAGACACACACTCCCCCATTTCATACTTGGCATGGATGACAGTGATGCACTCCAGGCAATCTTCAGGGGCAAAACACAAACATTTCCAACAAAGTGTCACTGAAGATATCCACTGAGTGTTGCTGCCACTTCTTGGCTATGTCTGGGACATACTCTATTTTGAACACTAAAGTAAATGAGCAGTGTTAAGTCCATTCTACCTAAGAGACTCAACCTATGAAAATACTTCAGATTAACTGTTCTGCCTGAAACACAACACCTATTTTAAGTCAACACAAACTACCAGGTTCATACTTAAAAGCATCAACTAGCCCCAAAAAATAAGAAATGTAAGGCCACCTGTCACAACCCAGGTTGCTGTGAATAGCTGTACACTGCAGCAGCTGCTTTGGAGACTCATGAACAAACACTAAAGCAGACAAGTCAAGTCAGGGGGATTAAAGACCTCAGTAGCTGCCCCAAGAGACACCTCAGATGTCAGATTGAGTTCATCTTTAATCAAAGGCAACAGCCTGAAGTCAAGAGGAGATTTCTCTCTACTGGCATTGTAATGTAGTAGAGGGAAATTTGAGGATTTTGAGCTCTCTTCAGCTGCAGCACCAAGGCAACTTGCAAGCCTTAAGGCACTGCAGAATTGCTCCTGGGGGAAGTCTACAGGGAAGCTGCTCAAGACCAAACACAAAGCAGCCATGGCAGCCAGCCCAAACAGCAGTTATACTGCCTGCTCCCCCTGCAGCAACCAGCTCATTAGCCACAATCACCATCCTCAGCAGCACTTGACTGCAGGGTGGTATTTCCTATTTCAACCATGGTCATTGCTTGAGCCATCACCTGGCTTGAGCATGTGCTTTCCACACTCATCTCAGTCAAGAAGAGGGCCCAAGTGCCTTCAAGCATAGCTCCCAAAATTAAACCTCCTAACTCCTGAAGTTAGAATTGACACATACTCCGAAGACACTTGGTGAGTTGTTCAAGGCAAGGCTGATTACTGCTAGCAAGGAAACCACACCATTTGGGGAAATATCACCAAACTACTCTCAAATGACTTTGCTTGGCTTTTGGTGACAGCAAAGGTGCAGAAGTGCAGCACAGGGTAATGTCCATGGCCAGCCATGCTGAGGTCCACATCATAACAGCAAGAATCCAGCAGGCTGGCTTGCATGCCTGCTTGCATGCCTCTCTGCAGATTGGGCTGTCCCACTGACAGCCTCACAAGCTGTCCCTTTTCCCCCCAACATCCCAGAGCTCTGCCTGAAGGAGAAGTCATGGAAGACACATATAAAATACATATAAAGTTGAGAAGAGAAAAGCCCCCTCTGAGCTGGTGATTTCCAAAAGAAGAAACACCAAGTAAAGAGACATGCTGCTGGACTTTTGGAAAGGCCACAAAGAGCATCTTTTCGTGGCTCTTTGCAGGCCAGTGTGAATTTAGTGCATTGGCTGGCCCAGCAGGCTCTACACAAGTCAGCTCTTCACAGGAGTTACACAATCATGGATAGAGTGGCTGTGAGGCCATGACACGCCCTGCTGAGAGGCAGAGTAAATTAAGTCAATCAGTGTGGCTTCCAGGCATCCCGAAGCATGGACAGAGCTCAGAGACTGGGCATATCCTGAAGGCATTCAGAGAGAACAGCTAGGCCATATTCCAGCTACTGCAGGCCATGGCCCCGTTACATGTGGAAATCCCTGTGGGTAACCTCCAGTGCCAAAGAGAGAAGATAGCAACTTCCCTCCCACACACCTCATCCTTCTTGGTGTTCCTTCTCCTCGCCTGAGAAAAGTCTCAAGATTTCCCCCAATAACCAGCATACAGTGTTGTACAAGATACTTTAGCAATTGACTTTGAAACCATCTGAGTTGCTCAAGTTTATTTCTCCACAGAAGACAGCCACCAAAGCACCCTTCATTATGCCACAGCCACCACTGATGATGGCTGTAAAAGTGCTCTGGGTTCATCCATACCAGAACATGCAGTGTTGACACCACTGCTGATGCACAAGTTAAGGTCCCACTAATTACACTCATATGGAAAAGACTTTGAGGTAGTTCAGGCTTAAAAATACCTCACACTGTAAGTTTTACTGGAGATTGAAAGACTTTCACTGATGTAGGACTTACTGTCTGGTCCCTCAGCGTTGGAAGCCTACAGAGCAAAGCTGACTCATTCCCTCTATCTGGATGGGTTTGGCAGCAGGATGGAAAAATGTTGGATGGAAAAGAGTTGCTCCCTGGAGCCCAGGCTGAGGGAAGGGGTAGGCAAAGACTTTCCCAACCAGACCTCCCTGCACCTCTGTGTTGCACAGAGCCTCTGGCCAGGAGGGCAAAGCCAAAGGCGCAGAACTGTGCATGAGACCCCTCGTGAGCCAGGACCACCCAGGCACATCGATGTAAGGACTGAACTGGCTGCCCCCAGGTCTGTGAAAAGACGAGGAGCAATAGGTGGGGAGGAAAAAAAGGGGAGCTCAAAAAATTTGGCCACAGCACTGGGCAGATTGAACAGTATTGAGCAGAGAATGAGAAGGTGTGTTGCAACAAGTGTATGTATGTATGGTACCACCCAAAACCTCCAGGCAAGAGTATAAGCTCTAAATAGGGACATGTGGCCATTTCTTTCACAGCTGAGTGAAGTACAAAAAGTAAATAGCCAGCATAAAAATAATGAGGAAAATGAATGAAAACATCAATTCCAAAAGAACTATTAGGATCCAGGGCCAGATTTTGAAATTCTCAGCTTTTACAATTGAAGCCAGATTTTCAAAAGCATTCAATTCTTGACATGCTGAGCTCTCCTGAATAGGCAACCAACTTATTTTGATGCCTAAATGGGAGCTGACCTCTTTTGAAAATGCTGTCCTTAAGCAGCCTGCAATAGTGCAAAGCAAGGAACTTTATTAATCAGGCAGCTTTCGATCTGCCTTGTGTCCTGCCACCAGCATCAGGGTGGACTGCAGTGGGAGAGGAGGCAGAGGTGAGTGAAGGAGACCCCAGGCACTCCAGCTGACTTCCCAGAGGTGGTGGGAAGGCTTCCCAGGTGCTTCCCAGGGGCTGCAGGTCTGTTGCATGACAGGGTCCTGCTCTGCTGCATCCTCTCCCAAAGGCAGGTACCTTGGGAGGTGCCCCTGGCTGCTGGCACTTTCTGCAGCCACCAATAACACCACCCTTGACAGCTCCTGATTAATTGCTATCTAGGAAAAGAAAGAGTTAAAGTAATTCAAAGAACTTCAAGAGAGAGGGGAAAAAATTATTTGTTTATTTATTTAAAATTCTTTCCTGCCAGGTTAAAATAACAATTTCCTGTCGGTGGAGCTCTAAGTCCCTTTTGGACAGCCCAGTAAATCAAAAGAGGGGCCATTAAGAGAACCAAATTAACGAGAGCTTAATCAGTTAAGGAGGGGTGGTGGGGGTGTAAAATCTGTCGGCTCGGCTTCCCACCACACACCTAAGCCCAGCGAGGCCCCTGCCTGCAGCCCCAGCTGTGCCATGGCAATGGAGGGCACTGCAAAGGCAGCGGAGCGAGAAAGGAAAACCAGAGGTGAAGATATAAAAGGGAAGAAAGGCCCGCACTTGCACGGGGGGGGAGTTGGGGGGGGGGAGGGGGTGACAAATCTCGAAAGGAAAAAGGGATTTGAATTAAGCACAGGCCTCAGAAGAGGTGTTTGCTGATTAGAAACTGAAGGTTTTACTGAGGAAATGCAGCTCACAGCCTGAAGCCCCCTCCTGATTAACAAGGGCCAGCCAACAGCCCTTGTTACTGCCACATTGCCTGCCATTTACAAGGCTCCCAGATGGGAAGCAAGCTGTGGCCCAGCTGCGGGCAGCATCCCACTCACACATCTCAGCCCCGCCGGCAGGCTGCGGGAATGGCCGGGAGCTGAGCAGGCACCGACGCACAGGGCAGCGCTCCGGGCTGTGTCAGGCAGATGGACCTCGGGAACTTCCTTCTGCAAGGGATCAACAGTGGAAAGGGGTAAGGACTGCTCTGCACCGAGAAAGGCTGCAGCAACTGCAGTCTAGCTACCAGCTGGGGACACCCTGGGTGACTCTGGAGAATTCACTGCAGCTGCTCTCTGTTTCCAGCAGGTCAAGTAGGGACAGTGATACTCCCAGCTCTCTGTTTCATACATTGAGACCTCAGCTTTTCAGAAAAAGCAATGTCTTATACAGTATTATGAGCCAATTGTACTTGTAATCATTACTTTTTAATACAAGACAGTATTGTTTTCTCCCGCCTAAAGCAAAAACCACTGAAAAAGAAAATGTGAAAAAGAGTGACAGCACCCCTTTGTTTTACAAATCGAGGAATCTGAGGGCTAGAAGAGGAAGCCAACCTGGCCCAAGGTTATCCAGTAAAGCAGTGGCAGGCAGGGCTGGAAATCAAAAGCTCTCTGACTGGAACCTCCATCTCATCAAGCAAGCTGTTCTTGGATCCTAAATCTTTTCCATCCCCTCTGAAAAATCCCACTGTACAACTGTATAATCCTCTAGATGCAAAAATACTGTCCAGGTGACATCTTTTGGCAGATCACCTGCAAAGTCCCTGCATGATTCCTGGGCATGGACAGCAATCTAGACAGCCCTGACTGCTCCTCCCTAACCCATCAAACAGTAACATCCCACAGGGCAAAATTATCCTCTGCCAAACCCCCATCCCCTATGCTCATTTTCTCTGAAAGGGTTTGGGAAAAGGACAGGTTGGTGCAGGACAGAAGCCCCCCCTCCCACAGAACATCATGGG